TCCAAGAACTCAGACAATCTTCATCCGACTCGCCGAGTCGTATGAACAGACTCGACGAGTTGTTCTTGATCCTAAGGAGATTGCCTTGGACTCGCCGAGTTGTATGAACAACTCGTCGAGTCCCTCCATCACTGAGTCTACCCTCAACTCGCTGAGTCCACTCTCTAACTCACTGGGTGCACTCGACTTTTCATTCTTTAACTTTGATCCCTTTTCTAAAAATTTGGTAATTCCTACCTCTTTAATTCTTTATCCGTTTTGACACTTCTGATCCTTGCAGTCAAAACTTTTACATTTTATCATAAAAACATGAAAAAAATGGTCCGGGGCAAAGCCCGACTTTTCATTCTTGCACTTTCTACGTCTGTCATGTTTATTGATTCGGAAACAACATTGAAAACTTTTGGCCCCCGCGTAGCGGGGGTAACCTTTCTAGTTTAACATCAAATCTGGGGGTATTTATGTTATCATACATTGATTGCGTGGCTTTCTAGTTTAACATCAAATCCGAGGCTCTCACACATATCATTGATTCAAACCCAAGAATATCAAATTCTTCAAAACCTAATGGCACTACATGCGAGGGTGATGCTGCTAATGTTCATCACACATGGGTCAAAGTATCTGAGCCTACTGGTGATCCAGAGGCCACAAAAGCAAGCACCTGTGCCTACTACGTATTCAAGAAAGAAATATAGTTCAGTTATTCTTTTCACATGTCATGTTCATCCATCCAGTTCCAGTCTCATTAACAGTTAATCATCTTTGTTAATAGTATCTGTAACAGGTCCATGTTATCCTGCAGATGGGATTGGATGAGTACATTATCCCCCAAATATGTATGTGGGTCCACCAATGTACAACACCTGGCATTATCCCGTCCGACCTGCAAATCAAAGACCATACCCTAAAGCACCAGTTCCCATGGCAACTAGAGGTTCTTACTCTTTGTTGAATTTTATAGTTTTAAACAAATGCTAAACTTGTCTTCTTTTATTGCAGGCCTTAACTTTTGGAGACCTCGATGACCCTTGTCAAGTACTCTCATTAGAACTCTTTTTAACCTACAAGAGAACAAATTTTCATTTAATTGACACTTGTACAACAATCGTCAATCAAGACCTTATTGCCTGATTAAACAGTGCACAGAGCATTTCCATTCTAAAAGATGAAGATGCATAATGCAAGAGTGTACATGAACATATTTCAATATTGAGGATGGCTCCAAAGCTATCGACATTTCTTTATGTCTGCAACATCCTGTCATCTTTGGATTTTTTGCTGTTTTGTTCTTTGAAGGCTATCAATATGTTGTGGCTCCATGTTGAAGCCAAATGTTGGTGATGCTTTTTTAGTCGTTGGTTGTCAGTTATTGGGAATTGGGCTAAAGTTAGAACTTGGTCTTGGGTGTACATTATGGAGATGTCTTGGGTTCAAATTTGAAATATAATTGTTGCTTCTTTTCACCTTGATGTTGGTTTGTTTCTCATATAAGGTGCTATGTGTTCAAGCTGGGATCAAGTAGTGCCCCTATATATCTTTGTGCTTTGTTTTATGTTCAAGGGGCATTTATTTAAATGGTCGACCTGTAAGGAAGCTCAAAGCCTCCTATATTTCTACCATTTTATCACTTGTTTCTCTCTGGTGTCGACTTAAGCAAAAAAATTGTCAAAAGTATTCTTGCTTTTAGTCAATATACATGGGAATAAGTTTCATGTACATATTTGAATTGGGAAACTTGGAGGGATCAAGTAGCACCCTTATATTTCTTTGTGCTTTGTTTTATGTTCAGATATCAAGGAAGCTGAAAAGCCTCCTATATTTATACCATTTATCACTTGTTTCTCTCTGGTGTCAACTTAAACAATTTTGTTTTGTCAAAGTATACTTGCTTTTAGTCAATAGTACATGGCACAAAAGTTTCTTTAGGAAACAAAGGTCGGAAATCTGCAAAAAAAAAAAAAAATTACATTAAAGTCACTCTTGATTTTTATTCTACAATTTAATAACTAGAACCAGCTATTACTTGCAATTTGGTTCAATTTGTAGTTTACCGTAAACAATAGAAGGTTTCGATGGTTAAATTGTAAGCAAAATATCAAAGGTGATTTTTTATCAATAAGCCAAAATATAAGTAATTTTTTTTTCAATGCATGATAATATTAACCTCAATCTTACTATTTTAAGATTAAATTAGAATCTATTTTTGCTGAAACAACTATTACAATTTGTTTGATTTTTAATATATGATAATAAATAAATAAAACTTTTTAACTATATTTCTATTTAATAAAATATAAAACCGATTAAAATGTAGATATATATTGTGTTATTAGATATATCGTCTGCATCCGGGTGTTATTGCTTACAAATATTTTATGTGGGACATAAGTAACCACTCATTATTTCCTTTTATAACACGAGAAACAGACAAAGATGTCTTCACCATTTTTCATAAAATATTAAAAAAAATAGTTTGATCATCAAAATAATAGTAATTTTATTACAAAAAGTATTGCGAAATGTTGATGCTATACCAAACTGATGTCGTTTTGAAATCTCACGGAAAATATCGAAAAAAAGAATTTTTTTTTTTTTTTTTTTTTTTTTTGTGTTAAATTTTTTGATGTGTGAAGTTCCGTATAAAATACAAAAAATTTAGATTCAGTTAAAAAAGTGTTTTTAAAAAAGAAAGATTGTTGTAGAAATCTTTAAAGACAATTTTCATGACCTGTGAAATTCTCTAAAAATACTAATATCTTAGAATGCATTTGGTTGTGAAAAAAGTTTTAGTTTTCTATGAAATAATTTCAAATGAAAATGAAAATTTTAAAAATGCTTTTGGTTGATTTAGTTTTCAATTTTTTTTAAGAAAATGAAAATTTTCTGTTTTCGAAATCATATGTAACTTAAATAAGTAAGTTTTTTTTTTCTCTCAAAATTTTCAAAATTTCTAAATGGGAAAATGAAAACCCCACAGTTTCAACCAAACGCGTTTTTATAAAATTTTCATAGAAAACTAAAAATAAAACTGTAGCGTCTCAAAAATCACGACTAAAAATTTTCTTTAAACGTTACTAAAACCATATTTATAAAAGCCATGTCATAGTTCATAACATACATTTAGAGTATTAATTCAAAACATATTCTCATTATCAGAGTAAGACATCTCAGGCTGTCTAATTAATGGTGTGTGCCATGCGATCACCCCGAGCTTTTCCCTCCGCTACCGGAAGTACCTGAAACCAAAACTGAAAACCGTAAGCACGAAGCTTAGTGAGTTCCTCAACCTACCACATACCCTGCACAAACAGATATAACACATACTGGGCCACGCCCGCTATTTCGGGCCTCGCCCCTAACTTGGGCCTTGCCCGCTACAACGGCCCTGCCTGGCTTCGAGCCCCGCTCGGATATAGATATGTTTCTTTTAGGCCCCGCGTGTCCTCTGGGTCCCGCCTGCTAGCCACATAATACAAAATAACATATAACACATAACTAAACATACCCTACTGTATTCTTGTCCTAACACTACTAGGAAAACAGCCTTTTACGACGCTCATTGCGCGTCGTAAAAGGCTCAGACGACGCGTAAATGCGCGTCAAGGAAGGCCCTGTCATAAAGAGAGACGACACACTTTTGTGCGTCGTCTATAGACGACGCTCATTTACGACGCTCGTTTACGACACGCAATGCGTATCAAGAAAGGTCCTATCATAAAGGAAGATGACACGCGTGTTAATGACGCGCAATGCGTATCAAGAAAGCCCCTGTCAAGAAAGACAATGTCATAAATGAAGATAACACACATTTTTGCGTATCATAATTGTAAATGTTTAAAAAAATATATTATTAATAGATTTACTTATTTTCAAATTAAATTTGTATTTAGTGTTTCATAATAGAAAATAAAATATCATATACAAAAAATAAAATCCATTGCATAAATTTAATGTCATACAAATAATCGTTCCATGGAAAGATAAAACAAATCAATAGAAGTTGTAACAAAAATTTACAAACGAATTAGATACAAAAAATACAATCCATTGCCCCTTTACTTATTCAAGATCAACTTGCAAGTAGCTAACTAATCTGTACAAATTCACCCTTGTTTCTAATCATTTTCTTAAATATTTTACAAACATAATTCATCCATAGTACGTGAACTATAGTTGCAGCCTTGTTTCTTCTTCTTCTAAACTCATCTCTTGCAGCCGTTGCTCGAAGCCTAGTTTGAATAGATACAACAACTCCTTGTCAGTTATGTGAAAAATCCAACCGGAGAGTGGCCTACCAACATAATAGCAACAACTAACGAAGCAGGAATGAAAGAGAAGGCAATACTCACAACAAATTTCGATAAATAAATTTTATAAAGAGAAAAATTAATGAAAATGTAATATATCATTGTATTGTATGGTAGAATGGAATTAGGGAAGGATTGGAATGGAATGGTTCATTCCATTCCATCCAACGAAACAAAACCTAAGCATAAACACAAGGAATCATACCTCTGCAAGTTTGTGCCCACTCTTTACAAGTTTCCACCTTTCCTTATCCAAACATAACACTTTAATATCTCCATCGTATAACAAAATTAGTTAAAAAAACAGGGTCAACAGGAAAAACAAGTCAAAAGTTGACAAAGTGTATTCAAATGAATACAACCTCCTAAATAGTTATTATTAATAAAATTAGAAAGCTATTTTGATCGTATGTAGTCATGTCTAAGTTTCAAAAAATTTAAGAGGGAGTAGTGGATTGCACCTGAAGTGGATTGAAGATTTGTTGTGGTCTTCCGGTGGTGGCTGGTGGTCACCGAAAAACAACACATCAGTAAAAAACCAAATCAAAGCATCCTTACCTGTTCTGTGGGCAGTGGCCACCGGATTTTGGGGGTGTTCAACGGTGGCCACCGCAAGAATGTAAACCATAAATTAGCCACCACAAAAATATTAATTTATCCAATAATATAAAATTTTAAATAATCAGGTTTTTATGATATAACCCTAGAAAGAAGAGAAATTTTATGATATTCTTGCCTTAAATGCCTGGAATCTGACTGCACGGATTCTTTAATCTCCTGGAACAAATGAATTATACTTTCTACTTTCAGTACAATATACAAAGATAACCCAAAACATGATAATGATAATGATAATAGAAGAAAAGATACCATACCTGTAGATTTGGGTAGATTTGTGACATGGCAATTCATCCCCACAACATCAAGCCCTGATGATCCCTATTATTTCCAAATGAAGCAATTTAATGCAGTTTGAAAGAGTATAATAACTAGTGGTAAGTTATTAACCTTTAGATTTGCGACTTGATGGGCACATCCAGCAGGTATTAAGACAGCATCTTCAATCCCTGATCACAACCAAAAAATAAAGCACATTCAGAGATTTTATATCAGTGAGAAAGGTGATACATAACACGCCTTGCAAATGCATACTAACCACACTCTTCCTTGAGCTTCCTTTTATGGTCCATGGTTAAGTAAAATGTTTGATCATGAATTGGGTGTATAACCTGGACCAAAGAAAATACAATTGAACAATTTAAAAAATTACTATGTAGGATTGTGATGCTACACATAAAAGAATTTGAACTAAAAGTAAGGATTAACACCTGCTGCAGTGGAATACAGAAAGAATATCTAAACTCTCTGAAATGTTTTTTGAGATATTCTTCGAGTTTAGGAGTATCTTCCCACCTAAATATGTCCAACAAAGCACCTCCATCTCCCAAATCAGATCCAACCACACAAGTACCTGAAGTATCATCCTGGTTATCACCTTCTTCACTATCAGAAGATATCACTTGTTTCCTGCCCTTCTTTCCATCTGGCCCCTCAACTCTTTGATTTGAACCCTTTCTCTTCCTCTTATCTTTTTTATCAATGTCAAACTCAACTCCTTCACAACTTTCCTTCTTCAACAAATATTACTAGTAGTTTTATGCCCTTCTTGTTTCTTCGACCCAACAAGTTGCTCAGAAGTAGCATCTTTCGTGTTATCAACATAAAGTTCCTTCTGATCCTAAGCATTGTGCAGCTTTTTTAATACATTTATCCTTTTATAATGTTGAGAGTCGAGGGTTACAGTTGCACTATGAGTCAGCACATTCACCTGCATGTCACTAGAAAAAATATTAATGAATGAAAAGATATAAAACCCAGAATAGATTGGGTGTGCAAAACAGAGAATATATCCCTTTGAAATAACTCTTCACAAGAAAAAGCTAACATGAGAGGTTCAATTTTTGCAAAATGGTTTTATTTTGACATACCAAAATGTTTAGATCGGGGTTTTGTCTTCTTAAAATAAAGCTAGAGATGATTTTATATTGTAAATCAAAAACAGGCATTGCAAATTTATGTTTAACTCGGATAGTAAATATATAGCTACTTCATAAAGTTCACTTCACTTTACTTTTCTAATTAGTGGTTCTTTTTTCCATGGTGAGTCCAAGAAGTATTGCAATTGCTGATTTTTATTCTTTAATAACGGAAAAAAGATGAGAAACAAAAGAGGGCTGCTGGTTTCTTCCAACAGATCAAGAAAGGTTAAAAAAAAAATTAAGATTGCATTCCAGCAATTTATGCAATCCCCGTGTAATATATATGAGACTCTCATAAATTGCAAGTGTGAAATGTAAGTAAACGAACTTTCATGACAACTTCTGTTATATTTCTTTTAAAGATAGTGAAGTCATCATCAAACCAATTCCTTCTCATACAAATTGAAATGGCAACTTCTATAACTAAAAGGTTAAAAAAAAAGTGTGATGATGCCTAAAGAGCAAAATTCAGTTCCAATGATACTAGATGAAATCCAACAATGGTGATCATGTCTTTGCCTAAAATCAGAATAGAAAATTTCAAGCAGAAGAATTTGGCATAACCAAACAGAAAAAAACATACCACATCAGACTTGTGACAATGAAGTTTAGTTATAGAGTCTCCACGTCCCATGATATGTGCATATTTAGTGTGTATTAAGTATAGTTTTTTATTCATATATTAGCTAAATTATTGCATATTATGGACAAAAGGTACTTAAAAGTGTTAAATTATGTTTTTCAGTCCAAAGATGAAGCTCGGAAGCGAAAGGAAGCAAGAGAAGCGGTTAGGAGCTCGAGAGTGGAATGAAGAAGAAAAACACCTAGAAAAATGCTTCTACTCGTCGAGTCGAGCCTGGACTCGACGAGTCCAGTCGAGGAATCAGAAGGATAATGATTCGGAAGTCAAGATAGTTATCGCAATACGAAGAATGTGAGAGGGACTCGACGAGTCACCATATGACTCGACGAGTCGGAACGCATATTTAAAGATAACTCCACAGATCGAGAGAGGAGAATTATGGGAAGTTTCAGAAGTGCTTTGCTGCGAATAAGAAGCCAGAAGAACCCTAGAAGTCGACCAAGGAAGCTAGAATTCAATTCCGGGAGTAATTAAGGCACAATTTCATCATTCTACTTATTCTTTTGTTTTGTCAACATGATTAAGCAACTTGAACTTGTTTATTTGCTGTTATTTACCATAGTTATGAACTAAATTCTTTAGACTTCTGTTTGGGAATACAAAGTTGACAATATGGTTTGATTGATTGGTAGGATTAATTCCAAGTTGGTGAATTATTGTTATTTTAGCTTGCTAAAGAACCTTGTGTATGAATAATAATTAATTTTCTGTTAATAGGAAGATAATTGATTAGCATGAACATCTATTGATTATCAACCTCATATGATATGCGACCACTATACCATATGTCTAGAATTAATGAATATGAAACTAGAATTAATAAGGAAATTGAGTAAATTCATGTGCAAGCTTGTAAGATGACCATCAAACAAGAGGTTAATTAAGAAGAATAAATTAATTAGCTATTGCAAGTCTAACTTAACCCGAATAATTAATCTAGTAAATATAATTAAATTAAGCAATTGGCCACTGTTTGAGTTAGTTTATTTGCTAAGGATTAGGGTAGTGAACATGAACCTAATCACTTGAATCGGTAACCAACGAAAGAATTAATCCATTGCACTATTACCTCAAAATCAACCATAAAGTTAACCGAGTTGAACTAAACAGAAGTTCCTTTCCAATTATTGAATCTAGTTAAATTGTCATTTTCTAGTCTTTAATTAGTTATAGTTAGTAAGTTTCTAGTCTTGTAAAACTAGAGAAAAACCCCTATTTTCTTAATCAACTTAGATAGAATTAGTTTTTAATTTAATTTGCCATTCCCTGTGTTCGATACCCTGCTTATTTAGCTATACCACAATTGATAGGTTCACTGCCTTTTGTGTGTTATTTGATAATTAAAGTAGGATTAAAACTAAGTGAGTTTTACACACATCAAGTTTTTGGCGCCGTTGCCGGAGAACGGTTCTAAAATTAGCATTAAAATTCTAATTCAATCGATCCTTTGTGTAAGATTTATCTTACACAAAGTTAATTTCTGTTTAATTTTTGTTTAAGTTTATATATATATATATATAATATATATATATATATATATATATATATATATATATATATATACCCTGATTTTCACTTGAACTCGCCGAGTGCATTCGCCCCGACTCGGCGAGTACAACGCTGAATCAGATTTAATTTTTTGTTCTTTTTTACGCGTTTTGTTTTGTTTTCTTTGTTTTGTTTGTAGTTGGTTCATGACCCGAGGATCTGCTACGCCTCTGGTTCCCCCTCTTGAAGATCCGGAAACCGCATTAAGAAGAAACAAGGGCAAAACCGTTGGAGAAACCACTTCTGCAAAGAACTCACCACTCAAAAACCTCAAATCCGTTTTTAGCAAGAAAAGGAGCAGCAAATCAGGAGCATCCAGTGCATCATTCACAATCGAAGACCCGATCCCAAAAGACACCGACTACGAGACCGAGGAAGAAAACGAGCCCACATACGAGCACACATCCGAGTCTGAAGACGATTTAGCCACCGCTATGGCTAATATTGACGAAATCCCCATGGGGAAGTGGAAGAAGAGGATGCGTGATGACACCGACCCGGGACTTGTGCAACCCGCAATTCCCGCTACCGCTACGTTTGAACTAAAGGGCCATATTCTCGCTCAACTCAAGGAGATCCCTTTTCACGGGAGAGATCATGAAGACGCCTATAAGCACTTGGATGAAGTAAATGATGTGGCAGATTACTTCAATGTACCCAATGTGTATCTCGCGAGATCCAGCTACTACGCATGCTTCCTGTCACATTTAAAGGAGCTGCAAAGGATTGGTTGAAGTCACTCCCTCCCGGATCGGTTACCACATGGGCCAAGATGAAAGAAGAGTTCATAGATCATTTCTGCCCACCTTCCAAGATAGCCAAGCTAAAGAAAGCCATTGCCAACTTCGAGCAACAGCCCGGAGAATCTCTTTATGAAGCTTGGGAAAGATATAAGAGCCTACTTAGAAATTGCCCCCACCATGATCTTAATAGCCAACAAGAGGTCTCCATCTTTTATGATGGAGTTAATGTCACCACAAGGCAACTACTCGATTTACAAGGCCCGCTCACCCAAAAGCCGCCTCCGGAAATAAAGGAATTAATTGAAGAATTCTCTAAGAATTCTAGAGAATACCACAATCCGAGGAATGAAGTGAGTCGTGGAGCAGTAAACTCGGTGAACGATGGCATGGCGGCGGTAATAGCCAAACTCGATAGCCTAGACCGAAGAATGACGAAAATGGATCAAACGATCCATGCTATTAGAGTTGGATGCGAAAATTGTGGTGGCCCCCATCTTACCAAGGATTGTGATCGAGACGAGAATGGAAATAAAAAGGCTCAAGTATTCTATTCCAGTGGCGATAGATACGATGAAGACCGGAGGAAACCGAAGAAGGAATAGCACCCATACGAAGAGTATAAAAAGGCTAAGGAGGAAAAATACAAACAGAGGGAGAGGGGATATTATCAAAAGGAAGAGCCGGTGACGGAAAAGAAGGCGAATTTAGAAGATATACTTACAAGGTTCATAACCGCGTCCGAGAAAAGACATAACGATCATAATGTAGCAATGCAAGAAACCAGAAATATGTTGAGGAATCAGCAAGCTTCCATTCTCAACATTGAGAAACAGCTGGGACAGCTTGCACATCAAGTGAACGAAAGAAGACCGGACCAACTTCCGAGCAACACCGAGCCCAATCCAAGAATGGAGAACGTGAGCGCAATAACCTCCAGAAGTGAAGAAAAATGCACAGAAGCACTAAGGATCTCCATGAAGAAGGAAGACAAGGTAGAAGAATTGGAGCCAGCCAAACCCGACCCGACTCGCCGAGTCGCTCCAATGGACTCGACGAGTCCATGCGAAAATGAGAAACCCATAAATTCTTCGAAACCTTATAAGCCTCCACTGCCATACCCAACCAAAGCCATGCCTGCAAAAAAAGTTGAAGCATACAGAACCTTCATGAATCATGTTAACGCTCTACAAGTTAATATGCCATTTGTGGAAACAATACTTCAAACGCCTAAATACTTCAACTTACTTAAGGGCCTTTTTGCTGCTAGGAAGGATTTGGCTGAAGTTGCAGAAGTCTTGATGAGTGAGCTACCTAAAAGGAAGGGTGATCCCGGAAATATGGTGATTCCGTGCCAATTTGGTAATGAGATCTTCACACGAGCATTAGCTGACTCGGGGGCAAGCATCAATATGATGCCTTTGTCATTCTATAAGAAGTTGAATCTACTAGAACCAAAACCGGTGAATATGAAGATCCATTTGGCGGACAAGACAATAATCCATCCAAAAGGCGTTTGTGAAGATCTCCTCATAAAAGTTGACAAGTTTATATTCCTAGTAGATTTCGTGGTTGTTGACATGGAAGAAGACCCCGAAATTCCAATTATTTTGGGGAGATCCTTCTTAAACACCGCATGTGCCTTAATTGATATAAGTGAGTCTACATTGACATTGAGAGTGGGTGATGAGGTTGTGAAGTTTAAAGCTATTCCAGAAATCAAGCAAGAAGAGAAAAAGATTGAAGAAGTCTCAATGATCCAATTGGATGATGAGATATTAGAACAAGAGCTTGCACGTTTGATGAAAGAAGATCCAAGCAAGTTTGTGATGCACTCTGAAGAAGAAGGAGATGTTAACAGGGACTTGGAAGAATTGGAAAAGCTACTGGAAGGAGCCCACTCAGAAAAAACCCAAGAATCGATGGAATTCGTACCGACTCGCCGAGTCACTTCAATGGACTCGACGAGTCCAGTCGATTTGGGCAAACACTTGTCCGACTTAGATCTGCTTGTTACTAGTCCTTCACATACCTTGGATTTCAATAATAGACAGGATTCTTTAGAAGAACAAACAACAGAATGAGTAAAGGAAAGGAGAGTTCAATACGCCGATGTAGCATGTCTTGATACGGTCCAATTCAAGGAAGGGTTAAGCACGGGAAAGGATGCAGAGATAAAGGAAAGGAAGGAGGAAGCTGATCACCAATTCACCACTAAACCTAGAGCACGGACCATCATGGAATGTGAAGTTATTAAATTTAAAGAAAAGGATGTTCAAGAGATGGTGAAAAAGAAGGGGGTGAAGAAGAAAAACAGGAAAAGGGAAGCCCAAGCAGTTGAAGATGAGGCAATGAAAAGAAAAAGAGATGAATTAAAAAGGGCTTACAAAAAAAGATCCACGCTTACAAGACCAAGTACAAATCACAAAAAGTTAGGCATGCGTTCCCGCTCAAAGATGACAAAACGTAGATGGGAAGGAGTCTAGCTAATGACTCCTCAAAAAGAAGAGCTTGGCGGGAGGCAACCCGTTATATAGAGTTTGCTTTCTTTTACTTTTTAGTTTTCTTTTTATTTTCCCTTCGTTTTTTTTGAATCTTAATCTTCCAAATCATCGGGCATGTCTGCTTGAGAGTGTGCATAGGCTAAGTGTGGGGTGAAATGATTCATAATAAACAGAAAATTTTTGAAAATTATACAATTTT